TAGATGTAACTCACTCGCACAAAAGCTCTTCGGGATTCTCAGTTTTTTTTTTTTTTTTTTTTTTTTTTTTGAGACAGAGTCTCTCTCACTCTGTCGCCCCAGGCTAGAGTGCAGAGGCACGATCTCCACTCACTGCAACCTCTCCCTCCCGGGTTCAAGTGATTCTCGTGCCTCGCCCTCCTGAGTAGCTGGGACTACAGGTGTGTGCCACCATGCCCGGCTACTTTTTGTGTTTTTGTTTTGTAGAGATGAGGTTTCACCATGTTGGCCAGGCTGGTCTTGAACTCCTGTTCTCAAGTGATCCACCCACCTTGACCTCCCAAAATGGTGGGATTATAGGCGTGAGCCACCGTGGCTGGCTGGTTGTCAGTGATTTTTAAGAGGGCAAAGGGGTCCCCAGAACCACTATGATGTGACATCAAGCAGGAAGGGATGCATTTTTGATGACACCATCCCCAAATAGCAAAGGCTGTTTTTAAAGAACCATTTATAATATTTGCTCACAAAGGAGTCCTTTTAAGATTTGGATTTTTTTTTTCCATTAACTTTTCCACATTTTAGTCAAGAATGTAAGTGGGTTGATTAGTTTTTCATCTGTGTTGAATTTTCTTCTAGCTGCTGTCAAGTCAGTGCTGCAGCAATTCATGTGATAGCAAGAGCGTGGGGGCATCCTCAGGTTTCACAGAGCATCAAAAGAACTCTGCTATAGTCACAAACAAGCACCAGCTCATTTGTTACTGAGTAAGGTTTTTATTCTTAAGATCTTCTATCTTATTTGGACTCTGTCATCTTGGTATACGCTTTATTATAGCTTGTAGAGTGGTCCTGAATACAGATGACTTTATGGAAAACATATTGTTGGATTGAGGTCAGTAATTTTTAAGGTGGACTCAATTCAAATGTAGATGGGCTTTTTCTGTTGTGTTTAAGGGCTTTGGTATCGAAAGCTATTGCTTTGTACAGTATACATCAGTTTGAATGCAAAGTGATATGATGGGGGGAAATCTGTAGTCAGGCTGTTAACAGGCCAAGAATGAAACCTAAGAGCATGTCCTCTTAGCAAGTTTTCAAGGTGGCATCTATGACTGCTGAGAATAATGAAGGCTTTGGAGATGATGGGAAATCATACAGGGAGAGGGCTTTTTTATTTTTTTTGAGACGGAGTTTCGTTCTTTTTGACCAGGCTGGAGTGCAATGGTGCGATCTCGGCTCACTTCAACCTCCGCTCAAGTGATTCTCCTGCCTCAGACTCCCAAGTAACTGGGATTATAGGCGCGCACCACCATGCCCGGCTAATTTAGCATTTTTAGTTTCACCATGTTGGCCAGGCTGGTCTCAAACTCCTGACCTCAGGTGATCCTCCCGCCTCAGCCTCCCAAAGTGCTGGGATTACAGGCGTGAGCCACAGTGCCTGGCCACATTTTTTTGTTTTTGTTTTTGATTTTGTTTTTGTTTTTGTTTTTTTTTGAGACAGTCTCTCTCTGTCGCCCAGGCTGGAGTGCAGTGGTACAATCTCGGCTCACTGCAAGCTCCGTCTTCTGAGTTCAATGGATTCTCCTGCCTCAGCCTCCTGAGTAGCTTGGATTACAGGTGTATGCCACTATGCCTGGCTAACTTTTGTATTTTTAGTAGAGATGACTGTGTTGGCCAGGCTAGTCTCAAACTCCTGACCTCAAGTGATCCACCCACCATGGCCTCCCAAAGTGCTGGAATTTTGGCTGTGAGCCACCACAGCCAGCTGGGAGAGGGCTTTTAAATAAAGGGAAGGGTGTTTATGTTTTTGGTTTTTGTTTTTTGAGACAGGGTCTTGCTTTGATGCTCAGGCTGGAGTGCAGTAGCCTGATCATGACTCACTGCAGCCTCGAACTCCTGGGCTCAAGTGATCCTCCTGCTTCAGCCTCCCTAGTAGCTGGGACTACAGGCATGTGCCATGATGCCCTGCTAATTGTTAATCATTTTAAAAATAAATATGATTACTGTGAAACTAGATCCACAAAGGGTTACTGATAAGCAGAGGGCTTTGACAAAGTCGCGTGCTCAATTTGTAATCATAGCTTGAATTGTGTGTATATTTGTTCTCTCAAGTAGTTTAAATTGATCTGCAGTCTTGTTTACACTATTAGCTTACTTGATGACCCTTGACTTTACCGATAACATAATCTATTGTTTCTTAAACTGAAATCTAGGGGTTTGTGGAGTATATATTATTGAGGACCAAGAATCAACTTTAAATATTAAAACTTATTAGTTATAAAGACAAACATTGGGCCGGGCGCAGTGGCTCAAGCCTGTAATCCCAGCACTTTGGGAGGCCGAGGCAGGCGGATCACGAAGTCGGGAGATCGAGACCATCCTGGCTAACATGGTGAAACCCCGTCTCTACTAAAAATACAAAAAAAAGAAATTAGCCAGGCGTGGTGGTGGGCGCCTGTAGTCCCAGCTACTCCGGAGGCTGAGGCGGGAGAATGGCGTGAACCTGGGAAGCAGAGCTTGCAGTGAGCCGAGATTGCGCCACTGCACTCCAGCCTGGGCGACAGAGCGAGACTCCGTCTCAAAAAAAAAAAAAAAAAAAAGACAAACATTTTGCACTGATTTTTATTTATTTTTATTTTGTATTTAATTTTTCGAGACAAAGTCTCATTCTATTGCCCATGCTGGAGTGCAGTGACATAATCTTGGCTCACTGCAACCTCCGCCTCCTGGGTTCAAGCAATTCTCCCGCCTCCCTCAGACTCCTGAGTAGCTGGAATTACAGGTGCGCGCCACCACACCCGGCTAATTTTGTATTTTTAGTAGAGATGGGGTTTCACCATGTTGTCCAGGCTGGTCTCGAACTCCTGGCCTCAAGTGATCCACCCGCCTCGGCCTCCCAAAGTGCCAGGATTACAGGCGTGAGCCACCTCACCCAGCCAAAATCTCAATTATATCTCAATAAAGTGGTTTAAAAAAAAACAGGCCGGCCGGAGGCAATGGCTCACATTTGTAATCCCAGCACTTTGGGAAGCCAAGGCAGGAGGATCACTTTAGCCCAGGAATTCAAGGCCAGCCTGGGCATCATAGTGAGACCTCCTCTCTACAAAAAATACAAAAATTAGTGAAGGCATGGTGGTGGGTGCCGATAGTCCTAGTTACTCAGGAGGCTGAAGTGGGAAGATCACTTGAGCCTGGGAAGCAGCAGCAAACTGAGATCACACTACTGCACTGCAGCCTGGGTGAAAGAGCACGACTCTGTCTCAAAACCAACCAGCCAACAAACAAAAAACAGTCTGAAGACATTAAATGTATACTGTTAGATTGCACAAGCATAGGATTAAATACTAGCTTTATATTGTTATATTTGAGTTGGTACTTCTGCATTTCGCATGATCCTCACGACTGAGTTGTGAAATTAGGAAATTAGATTATATCTGCGTCTTACAGGCAAATGACTAAAACTTGAAACATTTGGGGGCCTGTCTCTGTGAAATCCCTTTGCTGGGGCTAGAACCCTCATCTATGACTGTTACCTCTCAGGACGCAGCAAATTTTCCATGGAGAATCCCATTTCCATTGAAATTCTCTCTTCCCTGTGATGTGCTCATGCCCTCTCTGGCTCGTTCCCCTTAGTCCTTTCAGGGCTCTACTTCCTGGGCCAGGCCCTCTTTGTTAATTCTGTGCATCCTTGTTGTCATCTTTGGTTTTCTGATCCTCGGCTGTTGCTTCAGATCCACCTACTCACTCCCCGCCCTTCTTGAGTTCTAAGTCCTTCTGTGTCTCCAGCTCTCTTCTGGACATGCCAGTCCCTCATTCAACATGTCAAAACGACATTTAATTTTCACCCCAAACTGTAGCTCTTTCTTATCTGGATCTTCTGTTTAATTCCGGGAAGCAGAACCTGAAAGTCACTCTGGAATCCTCCCTCCCCCTCATACCCTTCACAGCCTCCACATCCAATCGGCCACTCACACACTGGTTGATTGTATTTGTTAAATGTCCCAGGAATTCTTCCCTTCTGTGCCTATTTTGTCTCATCTAGACTGTTGGAGCCATTTCCTGGCTTCCTCTTCCAAGTCCTCTTGTGCCTGCTGGACAATCTAAACTGCTAAGCTCATCCTTCAAGGCCTTGGGTGATCTAGTCCTGGGCTGTCTTTAGTTTCATCACTCGCCAACTCCAGTTCCCTTCTGCCCCACCCACCTCCACCTTGCACTCAAGCAGGACAGATCCACCCGATTCCTGGATATCTCCATGTCTTTGCAATAGCTGTTGCTAGCATACCTGTCCCCTCTCATTGTTTATTTGGGGGAACAGAGTCATGCTCTTATACCCAGGCTGGAGTGCAGTGGTACAACACCATGCCCGGCTAATTTTTAAAATTTTTTTGTAGAGATGGGGTCTCACTATGTTACCCAGGCTCCCTCTTATTCTTCCAGACCAGAAACCCCGAGGCACAAGGCAAACTCAGGATGTATTTTTGTTCATTTTGGTTCCCCAGCTCCAGGCAGTGTTCCTGGTTCACAATGTAAGCTTGTTATATGTTTGAAATAATAAAATCCATGTGTTTTATTTTAATCATTTGAAGAAAGCAAAATTTTGTAATGCTTCCCCCACCCAGTTCCTCAGCTCAGATTCAATCAGCTGTTTTGAATGATTACCCATAGATAACAGTTAAGGTGCAAATCGTGTGTGGCTGCGTTTGTGTGTGTGTTTCACCTGTCGGTTTTTGGCGTCTGGGAATGACATTTTTCTTTGCACTGGGACATCAGTTATATCTAAAAATTATGTTTCTAAAAGGAATAGGAAATATGAATGAATAGGTTCGAGTTCAGTACTGCAGGCAGTTTTCAAACCAAATTTGGTAATGTTGATTAAAAATGGCTCAACAAAAAAGCACCTCAAGTATAATCATGGAAAATATTAGTACTACTTTGTATGTAGTAATATATTGTTAAGAGAATTATTCATTGAAATTATGTTAATCACAGGGAAAGACTATAACTTCCGTCTTGGTTTGTTTTAACAGGATCAGTTTGACAACTTAGAAAAACACACACAGTGGGGAATTGATACTCTTGAGAAATGTATCAAGTTTGTGAAAGAAAGGACAGAGATTGAACTCAGCTATGCAAAGCAACTCAGGTAAGTTGATATTGAAAAAAGTTATTTGTTAACTGCAAAATGATGTAAGGATAACATATATTCTCATTTTATAGTATAAATGTATATTTTAAATATTTTTCCTTTTATGTAAGGTAATATTTGAATAGGAGTGATTGTTTCTCATACAGAAAATTAATTTTCATAGAATAATAAAACCTAAATTACTGCTTTAAGGCCCCATTTTTTTTTTAACAAGATATTTGCTGAGTTTTGGATCAGCTTGTTTTTCAGTAAACTTTTTCTTGAAATATATTAATAACATATGTACAGAGAATTACACAAATCATAAGTGTGCAGCTCCATGAATTTTGACAGTGTGAACACACTCATGTAACCGGGCACCCAGGTCAAGAAACAGAAAGACCAGCCTGAGAGGCCCCTTGGCCCCCTCCAGCTCCCTACTTTCCCCACAATGGTAACCACTCTCCTGACTTCTAACCACATGGATTAGTAGTGCCCACTTTTGAACTCTACATGAGTGTAATCATTTAGTATGCATTCTTGTGTATCTGGCTTCTTTTGTTCTATATATATATATATATATATATTTTTTTTTTTTTTTTTTGAGACGGAGTCTCACGCTGTTGCCCAGGCTGGAGTGCAGTGGCGCGATCTCGGCTCACTGCAAGCTCCGCCTCCCGGGTTCCCGCCATTCTCCTGCCTCAGCCTCCTGAGTAGCTGGGACTACAGGCGCCCGCCACCGCGCCCGGCTAATTTTTTGTATTTTTAGTAGAGACGGGGTTTCACTGTGGTCTCGATCTCCTGACCTTGTGATCCGCCCGCCTCGGCCTCCCAAAGTGCTGGGATTACAGGCTGTTCTATATTACATTTGTGAGATTCACCATGTGGTAACATGTGGCGGGAGTCTGCTTATTTTCATTGCTGTTGAGTATTTTGGTCTATGAATGCACCAGAACTCATCCGTTCTACTGACTAGGTGATTGGTTGTTTCCAATTTAGGCATATAATGAGTAGCACTCCAGCGAGCATTATTGTACAAGGCTTTTTGTGTGTATCTGAACACATTTCCTAGGATCTACCTGGGCGTCTAATTGCACGGTCACCGGCTACTCATATGCTTAGCTTTGGTGGATAGGGTTCAACCGTTTTCCAAGGTGCTTGTACTAATTCACACTCCCTCCAGTAATGTGTTGAGGGGTCCTGTAGATAGTATTTTAAAAATACTTCAGACTGGTCACAGTGGCTAATGCCTGTAATCCCAGCACTTCGGGAGGCAGAGGTGGGCGGATTGCCTGAGGTCAGGAGTTCAAGACCAGCCTGGCCGACATGGTGAAACCCCGCCTTTACTAAAAATACAAAAATTAGTGGGGCGTGGTGGCAGGCGCCTGTAATCCCAGCTACTTGGGAGGGCAAGGCACGAGAATCGCTTGAACCCGGGAGGTAGAGGTTGCAGTGAGCCCAGATTGTGCCACTGCACTCTAGCCTGGGTGACTGAGTGAAACTCCTTCTCAAAGAAAAAAAAAAAAAAAAAAGTACTTTGGGGCCAGGAGTGGTGGCTCACGCCTGCAATCACAGCACTTTTGGAGGCCGATGAGGGAGGATTGAATGAGTCCAGAGAGTTCAAGACCAGCCTGAGCAACATAGTGAGACCCCTGTCTCTATTTTTTTTTTTAAGTATTTTGGATCTCCTTACATCTTTAATGATGAGATTATCCAAGAAATTTGTGTTTTTATTTAAAAGTTCTTGGTAGAACTAAGCTTGAACTTGAAGTGGCATGCAAGTCTATAATGATTTCTTGTTGTGTAGTTGTAGTTGAATTGGTTTGTGGATATTGTTTTAAGGCCTGTTAAAGAGCTAGATGCTTTTGATTTAGAAACATTTAGTTTTGTCTTTTTTTTTTTTTTTTTTTTTTTTTTGAGACAGTTTCACTGTGTCGCCCAGGCTGGAGTGCAGTGGCACAATCTCAGCTCACTGCAATCTCCGCCTCCCAGGTTCAAGCAATTCTCCTGCCTCAGCCTCCCAAGTAACTGGGATTACAGGTTCGTGTCACCATGCCTGGCTAATTTTTGTAGTTTTAGTAGAGGGGCTGTTTCACCATGTTGGCCAGGCTGGTCTTGAACTCCTGACCTCAGGTGATCCGCCTGCCTTGGCCTCCCAAAGTGCTGGGATTACAGGTGTGAGCCACCGTGCCTGTCCCCTTGTTTCTTTTTTTTCTAAAAAAAAACTTTCTTCAAGCTCCCTCACCATTGAGTTTTAATCCAAAGAGCATCTGCATAAGAGATATGTGTTCTTGGCCAGGCGCAGTGGCTTACGCCTATAATCCCAGCACTTTGGGAGGCCGAGGAGGGTGGATCACGAGGTCAGGAGTTTGAGACCAGCCTGGTCAAGATGGTGAAACCCCGTCTCTACTAAAAATACAAAAATTAGCTGGGTGTGGTGGCGGGCACCTGTAATCCCAGCTATTCAGGAGGCTGGGGCAGGAAAATCGCTTGAACCCAGGAGGTGGAGGTTGCAGTGAGCCAAGATCATGCCACTGCATTCCAGCCTGGGCAACAGAGCAAGACTCCATCTCAAAAAAAAAAAAAAAAAAAAAAAAAAAAAAAAGAGCTATGCGTTCTTATAAGGGTTTCTGTTGTTGTTTCAGCAAGCTGGGATTACAGGTGTGAACCACTGTGCCTGGCCCCAGATTTTGTTTTTATTGAGTGAATAACATGTAAAACATCACACAATGAAATAATTTTTCTTTTTTTCTTTTTTTTTTTTTTGAGAAGGAGTCTCGCTCTGTCACCCAGGCTGGAGTGCAGTGGTGCAATCTCGGCTCACTGCAAGCTCCGCCTCCTGGGTTCACGCCATTCTCCTGCCTCAGCCTCCTGAGTAGCTGGGACTGCAGGCGCCGGCCACAACGCCCAGCTAATTTTTTTGTATTTTTATTAGAGATGGGGTTTCATCTTGTTAGCCAGGACTGTCTCGATTTCCTGACGTTGTGATCTGCCCGCCTCGGCCTCCCAAAGTGCTGGGATTACAAGCGTGAGCCACTGCGCCCGGCCAATGAAATAATTTTTCTAAGTGGAGAATCCAGATCAGTTTCCAGTGCCCTGTGTGCATATCAGCCTCGTAAACATGTCAAGGCTTTTCAAACTGAAAGTAGAAATAGAATATGGCCTGTTTCACTTTGATTATTTGAATACTGCACTGTCATGCAGTGTTGCCTTTCGTGTGAAAATGGGCTACGTGTGAGTTCTCGAGTAGGCTACTGGTGTTCTTCCCACCACAGTCTCCCTTGTTGGCGCCTCCTCTTCACATCGCTGTGCCCAGCACCTGCTTCTCAGTCCTTCTCCCTTCCTAGTCTGTACTCTCCCGGTGACCTCAACTGTCTCATGGCTTTAGGCATGATCCGTATGGCAACAACTCGCAGATATGGATCTCCAAGCCAGACCTCTCTCCTGAATTCCAGAAACAGCTTGCTCAAAATCTCCACTTAGAAATGTCTAAAAACTTGGTCGGGCGCAGTGGCTCATGCCTGTAATCCCGCCTCGGAGGCCGAGGCGGGCAGATCACGAGGTCAGGAGATCGAGACCATCCTGGTTAACACGGTGAAACCCCATCTCTACTAAAAATACAAAAAATCAGCTGGACATGGTGGTGGGCACCTGTAGTCCCAGCTACTCAGGAGGCTGAGGCAGGAGAGTGGCATGAACCCCGGGAGGCAGAGCTTGCAGTGAGCCGAGATTGTACCATTGCACTCCAGCCTGGGTGACAGAGCAAGACTCCGTCTCAAAAAAAAGAAAGAAAAGAAACATCTAAAAACCATCTGAAATGTAACATGTCTGAAACTGAACTCCTGATCTCCCCAACTTAAAAATCCACATGTCTAGGCCAAGTGAAGTGGCTCACACCTAAAATCTCAGCACTTCAGGAGGCTGAGGTGGGTACTTGAGGCCAGGAGTTGGAGACGAGCCTGAGCAACATAGCAAGACCTTGCCTCTAAAAAGAATTTTTAAAAATTAGCCAGGCATGGTGGCGCACACCTGTAGTCTCACCTATTCGAGAGGCTGAGGAGGGTGGATGCTTGAGCCTAAGACACTGGGGCTGCATTGAGCCATGATTGCACTACTCCACTCTAGCCTGGGCAACAGAGCAAGACCCTATCTCAAAAAAAATAAAAACCTGCATTTCCACGACCTAGATTTTCCTCCACTCACCTGAGGGTAGCTGCATCCTTCCTGGTGTAGGTCAAAAACCGTAGCATCACCCAGGTGTGGGCGAATCACTTGAGATCAAGAGTTCAAGGCCAGCCCATCCAACATGGTGAAACCCTGTCTCTATTAAAAATACAAAAACATTAGCCAGGCTTGGTGGCGGGTACCTGTAATCCTAGCTACTCAGGACACTAAGGCAGGAGAATCCCTTGAAACCCGGCCGGCAGAGGTTGCAGTGAGCCGAGATTGTGCCATTGCACTCCAGCCTGTGTGACAGAACAAGACTCCATCTCAAAAAAAAAAAAAAAAAAAAAACCCTGGTGTCATCATCTGTGGCTCTCTTCTTTCTCTCACATTCTCACACTCCCCATCCCAAGCCATCAGGAAATCTTGGCTCCTCTACAGATTTATCCAGGAACTGACACTCATTATCACCTCCACTGCTGCCCCTGTGGTCCATGTCACATGGGCTATGTGGTCCATGATCTTTTTCCTGGTTATGATGAGTCTACTAATTAGTTTCCCTTATTCTACCTCTATCCCCTATTCCCTGATTTCTACAAAGCAGCCGGATTACAGTACTCCTCTGTTCAAAATTCCAATGCGTCCCCATTTCATTCAGAGTAAATCCAAAAACTTTACAGTGAAAGTCCTACAAAACCTTGTGTAATCTGGTCCCCACACCTTTCTGACATCATCTGTTTTAACTCTCTTCCTCCTTCTCTCTGCTGTAACCATACAGAGGCCTCCTTCCTGTTTCTTGTACATGCCAGGCATCCCCTCACCCGAGAGCTACTGTGCTGGCCCTTCCATGCAGA